CATCAAGACGCCTGCCATTTGGTATAAATAAATAAATATTGAACGAGTTCATGTCGAAGCGTAACAACTAAGAGGAGAGGACTGAAACAAGGGAAAGCGAGCTAAAAGCAGAGGCGATTTTCCCATTTCGGAAAGCACTTCGCAAAAAGTGACCTCGACAAAAGGGGAAAGTCTCCATGATGCGAAACGTCAACTCTGCATTGCTCATTTTCGCACGAATTTATCAATGCGGTTGGTCGTTTTGTTCACAATTTTTGCACTAATGGACCTTAAGCCCCTCAACTGCTTATGCTAAGAAGTTTATTTGCAAAAATGGGTTATCAAAGAGAAGGTAATTGTTCTAATACAATTTTTGATTGACAAGTACCTTGATCGCAGAAGGCTCCGCCCCAGTTGGGAAGACAGTGACAAGTGAAGGGTGCATCATCGCAAGTGCCATGTTGACAACCGGGATAAGTGATGCATTCATCACAGAGCTCTCCTCTCCATCCGTTTGCGCAGCTGAAATCATAGGACAAGGATTTTAAATAACCCCCCATTATTCTCATTCAACAGCATCACGAATATTATCTTGCTCCCTATGGCAACTCGAGGGGGGGGAGGCAATTTAATAGATAAAATGCCAGTCATTCAGACTTATTCGATCATTATTAGATGGCATCACAACTAGATTTGGGTGGTTAATTAATGACTAGCAATTGATGTGAATGGAAGCCGACACCGTGTAGCTCTTAATTCAGCACCTATTGAACTATTGACCTCTGTCTTCGTAGATGAGCATGTCGATCACCGTGCCTTATGTTCCGTGCAATATTTTTTATCGATGAACGTGAGATTTAAGAAGGACAAATTTAACCGGGTTACTTCAAGTGTTTGTTGGGCAAAATTGAATATTTTCAAATCCAAGGCAAAACACAATTAACAATTCCACAAGTTTGCGAAGTGCTATTATTAATTCTTTATGAGAATTACAATTTTGTTTAAATGAACTAATTGCTCGTTTCGGCGAATATGAAGCAATCGAGATGTCGATGGCTTGAGATTTACCAAACAAAGATGCCCACGTTGGTTTTTGTCTTTTTACTAGGTTTTCGTCAAGTTTCTTGTGGTGGTATCCATACAAGTCTGCACGAGATCGTTGAAAAAATGCTATTGCTACTTGTGTAGAGTTAAATATATATTATTTTTGGGTAAAATGTACTAATTTTACCAACTTATCAATTCTAACTTTATGTATGAGATGAGGGGTGTGCGATAGACTTACCTCCACGTGGTGCACCCTGGGCAACGTACACTCATACGGCAAAAAAGTCTATTAATCGGCAGTTGACTTCTGACTTCAAGCTATCATGACCCCACTGTATGTCATATTCGACCACTTTCACAGTACTCACCTCACCTTTCATCTACCTTTGTGTCTGTCTCTTTTACATCTTTGAAACACTTTTCTGTTACCCCCCCCCCCTCTCGACTTTTTTCGATATGATGTTCCTCTCCCTCTGCGAAGCCTGAAGTCAACTAAATGCTTAATGATAACTATCACAAAGCCTGGTATTTGATATAAATAAATGTATGAGATGATATTCCTCAAACTGGAGTGTACGAAAGACTTGCCTCCACGTGGGGCATCCTGGGCAACGTATTCTCATACGGCAAATAAGTCTATAAAGTTGGCTACAGACTACAAATTACTATGACCCCACTGTATGTCATATTCGAACACTTCCAAATTACTCGTCTTACCTTTTCTCTGCCTTTGTGCCTGTCTGTCATTTTACGTCTGTGAATCACTCCTCTTTCTTCCCCCCCCCTCTCTCAAATTTCTCTAACTACAATGCCCCCCCCCTCTGTGGATCCCGAAGTCATCTAAAGGGCTAATGATAAATATTTTTTTAATATTTATCCTCAAACGTACACGCAGTCGCCTGGTTTCTCACAATGTCCGTGTGTCGAATGGCATCCTTTTCGACACATTGCTAAAATTCAAAGGACAATTTAATTAAAAAAATTTGCACTAAACCATTTGAAATACTTATGACAACCATCTTCTTACGTTTGTCACAGTTTTCGCCACTCCAGCCTTTTTCACAGACTCGATTTCCGTGCTTATCACAGGCGAATTGTCCGGGCGTGGGCCTGCAATAGACTGCACAATACTGTCCAAAATAATCAGGTGAGCAGGTGAGTCGTAAACCCAAGCGATAAGTCGAAGAAGTGGATTCAACTACTGTGGGTTGCCAAGATGATGAGGGTTTCGTGGGAACCAGGATTCCACGATGTAATGTTCTGTCAACCAAATATCTGGATGTTCCCAATTTGTCAGGTTTCGCATCAAAGACTGATATAATCAGTGTATAAAGTAGCTATAATAAGTAAAAAAAGACCCAGAATAGTATTTTTTTATTTTTATTTACACATGTTTCCAAGCTTTAGTGTAATTATATTTACTTGATTTATATAAATGATTCATGAATGGAAAGAATAAAATTACGCTAATTTCCCACGAGAAATGAATCGCCGTGTTAGGCGACTTTCAATAAGGCAAGAAACGATGTATTAGTTCTTTTAGTACTGATAAATTATACACACGACAAAACCTAAAATATCATTGGAGAGCACGAATTCTCTCAAGGCCGACCACATCTCTAAACCAATGATAGCTATCGATTTTCCTATTAATTATCAATGACCAAGGATGTGGTAGAAAGTTTCCTTTATCTCTTATTCAAGCCAGATACCTTGTTGGTGAGTCAGTGGCAGAAATCGTTTTTAATTATAAATAAGAATATGCGAAGCTCAGGTAAGGAGGGGAGAAGTGGCCGGACATGTAAGTCTCCTTTAAAATTGCAGGTGCTAGTATGCTCAAGCCTCTAATTACTGCTCATACCACTTGTTTGAGGAGTTGCCTTGAGGACATAATTACTCCCTTTGCTAAGTCAATAAAAAGGAGACAAATTTTTCCTCAGTCAAGACTCTTCCAAGTAATTATTTATCTTTCAAGGAGAATGGGGACTAGTGTCCAACGATTTTATGCATCTTCTCGCTAAGGAGTCATGCTAGTGAATATTTGATGAACCTAGCGTCTTCTTACTCTTGGGAATTCACCAGGGTAAGCAAATTTTCTTTAGAAAAAAAATCGATAAGCAGACACACTTCAGTAATGCTCATGCTTTACCCTTTTAGTTGGGAGGCATATGGCGAAAGATATTTAGGAAATGAATTAGCAGCATAGAAACGAATTAACTGCTGAAATTTAACAAGTTACAGGAGGTTTGTTTACAAGCTAAAATAGTTCTGTCATACCGAGTTAAATGTACATGTTTATTCGTGCTAAGTAAGAATGCCTTTTTTCACGTGTAAAGAAGAAGAAGAAGAAGAAGAAGAAGCCCATTCGATCGATAATGGCTGGTCAGCAGAATTTAACAACTGACGCTGTGCGTATATTCCTCTGTGTATAATCCAGTTGCTACGGTGTTGGCCAAGGTTCTTTTAGTGTCCTCTTCTTCCTCCCCCCACCCCACCCCACCCCACGCCCACCCCCTCCCCTCTTTTCATTCCCCCTATCCCAAGTCCGATTAGCCTCTTCTTTGACCAAAACGTCAGCTGTCGTCTCGGTAGGTAGGTAGGTAGGTAACTTGCTGATCGTTTACAGCCAATGCTGCCCTCGTCCTATGAAGCATTAAGATTCAACTCCAAAACATTTATCTGTAGTAGTTCAAATCGGTTGTTAAAAAATGGATTTTTATAGGAGAAGAGGGGAGTATGGATAATTGTCAAACAGAGACCGAATGCGGTTTGTTGTTTTATCAAATTTGCAAGCAATCGCAATAAGTGATTAACTTTCATATGACGAATTTCATTTTTTTAATGCTTGAAATACGATGTTTCATGATAAAATGATTAAAAGTGAGTTTGTCGATTTTGTGCAATTGCCCTAGGATTCTAACTCTATGTCCTATATAAAGTATTAAATCGTTTTTTTTTAAATTCCGAAAGTTGGGCAAAAAGTGTTTTTCTTGCAATTAAGCATGAATTAGCATTCAGGACCTAATATCGGCAACGCCTTTTCAACTTCTGCCTAAATTCCAACGTGTCATAAACGTTGTTCTTGGTTATTTTTAGGGATTACATGAGGAAGGGGGGGGGGGGAGTAACCGGACCACCTTCAAAATAAACCCGCTATTACAATAAACCACACATTTCAAAATTTGTTCCATTTATTCACACTTAACAAACTTTGGAAATGGAACTAGTCTTAAGTAAACCAGTTCTAATAAGTCACTGAAACGCAGTTTTTCAGCAGAGTGTACTTCATCGATCAATAAAATATTGAAAACACATTAATGGTAGTATTCTATAGCACCATTTGGCTATAAGAAGAGCCGCTTGAATTGAAGGGATATCACCGGTCACTCAGATGTTCAGGGACCAATAAGTCCACGCAAGCTGCCTGTACTTGAAAATATAAGAGCCACGAAGAGTAAATCACGCTATTTCTTACATCAATACGATCTCCCTTCTCATTCCCGTATTATACTATTATGCTGTTCTCCATCTCCAGATGATGTCATGTGATTAAAATAAAATACACATTTCGCTCGTCATATATATATATCCTCGTTAAGTACGGAAATATTGATTCTGGGGCCAAGAAGAGAAGGAGCATATGCTGCGTAAATATGGCGGGGGGGGGGGGGGGAGGAGGGAAGGTAAGCATAGCTACAAAATCATCACCGACGTTTCCATAAGAAAAACAGCTGGTGGCCTCCTGGGTGAGTGAATAATGTAAAAAAGGACAAATGGCCAACAGCTGGCCAAGTAGATTGGCCAATCTCTCTCGTTTGTTCAATCAAGTCAATCCATAATATTGACATATAATAACTAAGCCACATACGTGTGAGAGGCGGTGTGGGGGGTGGGGGGTGGGGAAGGGGGAGAGGAAGGGGGGGGGTGAATTAATAAATTTAACCATATGATTGCATAATTTAGTTTCATGAAATCAAAAATGGATGCGTTAGCAATTGCCTAGTTTTTTCGAATGTTTGCCGATTTCAATAAAGTTTTAATCAGAAGGCGCGTTTCGAGGGTGTTCTAAAGACCGCTTTATCGAACTAAAATATAGAGTAGAACTGAGCTTTGGAAGTAAAAACATGCATGGCTCAGTGTAAATAAAAGCTCATTTCTTTTACCGCCAGAAAAAATTTAACGACTTTTCTCCGCTTTAAATAAATCGATATCGCTCGATTGATTGACTGACTGATGCAAATCTAAATATACACTAACAATTCTCCAATCAGCGTTTCCTTCATCAGACATGGTACCTCATTTTGGAAGATGTGTTTGCGATTCTTAATTGAACCCAGAATAGTGTTTTCTTATATTCTCAGGGAAAGCCAAGTAAAGGCTAATATTTTAAACGAAGAAACTGTGACTTATTGAAAATAAATACTCTTATTTCTAGGTTAGGAACGACTGCCGTATATAAATTAACTGGGGTGCACGATAGACTTATCCCCACGTGGTGAACCCTGAGTAACGTAAACTCATACGACGAAAAAATTCAATAAACCGGCAGCCGACTTCTCACTTCAAACTACCATGACCCCACTGTATGTCACAACTTCTCACTTCAAACTACCATCACCCCACTGTATGTCATTGTGTATGCGCATACGGCAAAAAAGTCTATAAACCGGCAGTTGATCTAACCCTAACACGGCAAAAATTCAATAAACCGGCAGCCGACTTCTCACTTCAAACTACCATGACCCCACTGTATGTCATATTACACTACTTCTACAGTGTCCACCTTTCCTATTTCTTTACCCTTATATCTGTCTCTTTTAAATCAGTGAATCACTCTTCTGTTCTCCCCTTTCGACTTTTTGCGCCTTTGATGTTCCTCCTCTCTATGAAGCTCGAAGTCAACTAAAGGGCTAATGATAACTACTAGCATACAGCCTGCCATTTGATATAAGTCAATCAATAAATATAAATTCACCTTATCTAATGAGATCGAGCTCCTTTAAGAATAAAATCAAAACAATTTTTAACACGTATGCGAATTGCATACGTGTTGATTAAGCGGCCTTCGACAAATCCTTCGACGAACTATCAAAGTGATTGACTAGGTGGCTACTGGAGGGGAGAGGAAGAGAACGTTATCTTTATCGCCTTCTGAAACAGCTGACAATTTGCCCAACATCTTTACTATTTGTCGATGGAGCTTTCGGTCGAACAGCTGTTCAAACATAGGTCGTTCTCCCATCCCGCGTCAAACGAGAGTCTGCTACCTCTATAGGCATTGAGGAGGTGACTAACAGCAATGGCTTAAGGGCGATAAGAAATGATACATGAAAATGATACTTACTTTCTTAAGCTGTTATCTCAGAACAAAAGTATTTATTAAAATTTTCAATACTAAAATCTGGTGAAATTTATTACAAAGCATGAAATAGGAAGCATATTTGTCATTGTTACATTTTACTTATTAGCGGACAAAATAAAATCCCGTGAACAAATTGGCTTATTTCGAATCTTTAAATTAATTTTTTAAACTGGATTGGCAAATGAAAATTTAAAAGAAATTGAACAAATCCTGTTTATAAAATTCCAGATGAAAAATAAATACCAAAAAGGCTATTTCTGTTTTAACTTATAAATAAAATTTAAAATTACAAGCAAATGCATTTTAAATTAGGAACTTTTGAACAGCTTTAATTTTAGCTATTAATTGAGTTAACTGATAACAGGATTTCCAGCAGTATATGATTTTTTCTACAACTTTTCACATCGGTTTGGAAGCTGGTGGATTATATGATATATTTAGACATTTCAAAAAGCATGTTATAACTGTAATTACCGGCCACTTATCGATGATGTTAATAGATTTTCTCAAAAATGGGTGCTTTGGATCCTTCCGATTCATGTCCTTTCGAGTTACATTTATTGATCCAATTTCACAGGTAGTTTCTTTGCCACCCACTTTCTCTCCATTTTCTTCGGAATCATATGGCCGAAAGCACAGTCTGAACACGAGATCACATTGCGAATCACATCCTTCCGTGGTTTTCACGCAGCAATCACTTCGAAAACGATAATTTAAATTATTTTCAAATTGGTGTATCGCTACTTCCAGGCGTCCAACGGTATTTGAGGCAGCTATAATCCAAGGTGCGGATAAGCTTCCGACGATTAAAAGAAGAATAGAAGAAAGCAGAGTTCCGTACATCCTCGTAATGAGTTAAGTACCGGCCTCTGGAGGCCTAATGGGGAGGCAGACTGAATAGACATACTTGTGACCTATTGACCAATCACATATTAGCTGTTGAACGCGAGTGCGAACAAGTGTATGGGAAAATGCGCAGACTGACAACCAATGAAAACAATCCATGCCATGAATTGACCACTCATAATTGGGCATCGGATTATTTGTTGTTTGAACAAAATTTTGATATTACATTCAAAATTTAATCGTTATGCTCTTACATTTAATTATATGATTTGCTCAGTATCTCACCACTGGTTTATTCTTTCTTCTACGAATGTAATTAGAATTTTAAATGAGATTAAGACTATTAGTATCACCTTTTAATATCCTCAATATCATTTGATAGTGAACTGCATTTTTCAAATTTCATTGAGGTTCCATTAGGGTATTATGCCCAGCTTTTATGAAATGCACTCCCACTGAGTTGGGTTAAGAATAATAGGGCAGATCAGACAAACATTTTTATTATCTCAAATGGCAAGCGTTTTGAATAGTTATCAATAGCCATTTAGCTGACATCGAGCTTTACAAAGTGAGGAACATCAAAGTGAGAAAAATTCGAGAGGTGAGGGAAGGTGCATCAAAGTAGCAGAAAGTCGAGGGGTAGAAGAGGGAAGGTCCATCAAAGTAGAAGAAAGTCAAGGGGTGGGAAAGGAAAATGAACATCAAAGTGAGAAAAATTCGAGAGGTGGAACAGAAGAGCGATTCACAGATGTAAAGGAGACAGACAGACACAAAGGTAGAGAAAAGGTGAAATGAGAACTGTGGAAGTTGTGGAATATGACACGTCATGGTAATTTGAAGTCAGAAGTCAACTGCCGGTTAATGGACTTTTTTGCCACCAGGGCGCACCACGTGGAGGTAAGTCTATCGCACACCCCCCAGATCAGATGAGCATGTAATGGTTTTAAAGGCATTCACAAATGATTTAAAACTAAGTGCTCTGAATTTATAAAATGGTAGAGACACTATATCAAATATTCAAACTGGTTCAATTTCAAATGCGCGATTTCAGAAATATTGGATGGATTGAAATAATTTTGAAAAAAAAATAAAAATGCAATTAAATAAAAACTACCTGCTGAAGGATTCTTTTCAAACATTTGCCCCGGGAATATCTAATTCACATTTTAATTAGCTGAGAAATCCTTTCGTCAAGCAATACTAAATGAATCAATTTAATTGCGGCCTCTAATTTCATTATATACAGACAATTAAATAATTCTTTTAAAGTTAGGTGCTGATAACTCATTTCCAAAGACTAGTTAGGGGCTATGAGATCAAAACCTATTATCCAATTTTTTTTGAAAGCGAATTCATTAAGCGTCACCGAGACACCTCAATTCTGTACTTTTTAAAAATTTAAATACAACTTCCTTTGAGTCCCTGTTAATTAGCATCGAATGGTGCCTGAGATATGTGGCCCAATATAGAAGTAAAAGAAGACGGTTCAAATTGGGTTTCTGAACGGTTATTTTTGTGACACATACTCCACCTCATTTCGAATTGCCTATTGTTGTTTCCAACATTACATACTGTTGATTCGAAGAATACAGATTTTTCAAGATTGACATACATAACGCATTCTGAAGAAGTGGTCACTTATTAGGGGCAGGGAAGTAGAATTACATTTATGTCAAAGCAAAAGCCATTCACAAATTTTGACATTGGGGAACCATCCAAACAAGAGAACGAAATATCCCTAATGAGGCGGACAAAGAAACGAATGAGGAAAAGATGAATAATTTTTGTTCTAAGCTTCATTTCAAATGCAATCTAGATTCATTAAGTTGTCTGGAAATATCGAGGTCCGTGACGCATTGTCTAATAGCATGGAACTTAAAAATATTGCGAATCTATTTTGTAGATTTCTGACCAAGACTTTGTTGCTTGTTACCTTGTGTTTATTTTTCATTTGTGCATCTTTCAGAGCGAACAAAAAGAGATTAAATTACGAAGTTATTATTAGTGTACACCCCAATGTATCGATTACTTCCTAAGTGGCGAATGAGCAGACCAAATAAGGTCTTTTTCAAACGCTTCTCAAGAGATGAAATTAAATTGACATTCGAGAGGATAATTCCTAAATAATAATCCAATTATACTTTTATTATGATAACTCAGTAAATGCTAACCGAGAAATAAACGTTTATAACGCTTGAGTTTTAATCGAGTGTTGTTTAGTTTTAATTGTTGGCGCCAACTTTACAATTTGATGAAAATTCTTTGATATCTGCTTATTATCTCAAATTGCCCTTTACTTTACTGAACTGTATTCGCAAATCGGTTCTTATTCGTAATGATATGGAAAAATACTAAAAGGAGAAGTGTATGAATTAATAAATGTTACTACTTAGAAATATAGAAATATATGGATTATTTGCCATATTCCAAAAAAACAATAAAATTAACTGTTTCTAACCCCCCCCCCCCCCAACCCCTCTTCAAAACCAGTAGATTTATGATTGAAACATTTTGTAATTCACTATGCTTATTTATAAGCTTCTAAAAAGGCATATATAAAGTTGAAAGAGATTGATTTCTTAAAGGTCAGATTTTTACAGATTTATGTGATTTTACTTTTCGCTTGTGCAGGAATTTAATGAAAGTGTTGGCATTCGTTCTAAGATGGAATGATGAGAGAGTTCTGGAACTCTAATTGAAATTTCAAGAATCTTCTCACTTTTATGTGAGTGCCGATTCTTATCCTTCTAGTTCCACCACTCCAGCTTCAAAGAAAGCAATGAAGAGATATTCTTCTTCATTGTTTTGTTAAAATGATAATCATAAAATGAGGTGTGCAATAGACTTACTCATATGACCAAAAAATGTCTAGAAATCGGTAGTAAGGCTAATGATAGATATCATAAAGCCTTCCATTTGAAATGCTAATAATTATTATTATAAAGTTAAAAAGATTTATTAATAACTAAATTAAGAAAATTAATATTATGGAAGAAATATAAAAATTAAAATAGTAGGAATATTTCGACAATGAACAACTATGAGATATATTTTGATTTGTAGTAATGAATACCATTTTATTTCTTTTTGGCAGTTTTACTGAGAGAATTGACATATTTTCTCCATTGCATCGATAAAATAAAGAAACTCAATGTATATACATATTTACGTGTATTCACTCCACACACCGAGCACGTTTTTAATTGGAATTATGTTAATTTGCATCGAATTCAGAACTCAGCAAAACCACTTTATGTGCCGTGGGGGCAAGTG